TACTTATAGCCCGGAGGAGGCCAACCGCCGGCCTCCATGATCGCAGGTAATGATGACTCTGTTTGCATGCAGCAGGCTCTTGTCAAATCGGGCAGTTGCCGAGGCAGCGTGGGGAAGCGGAGACGCCCACATCCAATCAGTCGCCACGCGTCGACCAAGGCCACATGTTGTTGGGGCCCGTGGCGCTCCGCACTTGCCCTTTGGCTTCGCTGCTAAGCCAAGTCCGAGCGCACCTTGGGCTTGGGGGCTACTATCGGTGTCCTGGATATGGGGGTATCCAGACTTGCCTGCCTGCGGCCTATGGCGTGGCTCATCAGTGGCCCAGTACGGCCCGTCTTCATCATCACAAGTTCAAGACCCTTGCGAGGGGTCAAGCCTCGCGGGGCGAACGACACAAGGCCTTCTCAGGAGCGGCCTAACCAAGTAGGCTCGTGAGGAGGCGGAGAGATCAAGGCAAGGAGTACCTCGCGAGGTGCACATGATGCAAGCCATGACGATCGAGACCAGGCGGGCGTCGTCCGGCGCAGTGTCCTTGTTTCCTCTTTGGTGCAAAGGGGGCAAGCACAGGCACGGAGTACCGAGGCATCAAGCAAAGGTTTCCATATCGGTGCAACAAGACCAAGACCAGCGGGACGGCAAGATGGAGGTCACCGTGGAGCCCAAGACGGTGTCATCGTTAGTGCTTTTGGCAGTTGAAGACCACCTTTAGATAGGATAGCTTGTACTAGTTGCCCCCTTCAAATCCCGCCATTGTGGAATCCCTTCCCGCTCAATATTTGGGAAGAGGACCAATGCCTCTATAAATAGGACTAGCCACCACCATAGAGGGGGATCCATTCGGACCAGAACCAACGGCACCGCCACAAGAACACCTCTCCTCGCGAGGTTGTTCTTCCCCTTGTACTGTTCCTCATCAGCCCAAGAGGCAATCCACACACCACACACTGGAGTAGGGTATTACACCACAATGGTGGCCTGAACCAGTATAAATCCCGTGTCCCTTGTGTTGTTCATCTTGTTAGTTTAGAACCGCAGCGAAGTAGTGGGCGTGGATCGGTAGGGAGAAGATCTCCGTGTGCACCCCAGAGTTCGAACCTTAAGGGTTTTGCCGGAACCCGATATCCGACAGCCTGGATGAGGAGCGGCAACGACCTCTTGCGCTCGGGGGAGCCAGTTTGGACAAGGAGCGGTAGAGGCAGGCCGAGCAGGGGCAGCGGCCAGGAGGGGGCAACGTCCAGGCGGGGGCATGGTCCAAGTGGGAGCAGCTTCCAGGCGAGGGCGCCCAGGGCGAGGTCCAGGTGGGAACAGCGAAGCCGGGCCGGGCGTCGCCCAGGCGGGAACGACGAGCCGGGCCGGAGTGGGACGACGTCCATGCAGTGGCAGCGGATCCAAGCGGCAACGAACAGAGGAAGGGCGACAACAGGCGGATCCGAGCTGGAGGCGGCTAGAGAGAGAGACGGCGACCTAGGAGGAAGCGGACCTAGCAGCAGCGGCGGTGACTGGGATGGAGTGCGCACGAAGTTGCATCGTGTGAGAGAGAGGCTAACCTGGCAACTGATACCATGTTAGATAATGAGCAACTAGTATTCACTGAGAGCCGAAGGCCAATACATATACATGTATAGTAAAATGTAGGAAATCCCTTATACAATGAGGATATACAGAAAGGGGACTATACACATCTAACACTAAACCCACGGAAAAATGGCATATTTAAGCAAACATTGTAGAACTAAAGAATAGCATTTTAGCAGCAAAAAAGCAAATTTCAGCAGCATAACTTGAGCAAATTTCAGCACAATACAATGGTTTAGCAGGTACAAGAAGCATATTTCAGCACAATACAATTGTACATGATTTAGCAGCTACAAGAAGCATATTTCAGCACAATACAATTGTACATGGTTTAGCAGCTACAAGAAGCATATTTCAGCAACATAACTTGAGAAAAGAGCAATGACAACAGCTACAAGGAGCATTTTTCAGCACAATACAATACCCCATTTGAGCAACAAGCAGGAGCAACAAGATATCCAATTACACAAGTTCTAAAACAGAATTCATGGTTCACAAATAACAAAACTTATTTTGGTATTACCTGATTTTGGGTTCGGGGACACGTGCCAGATCAAGATGGCAACGGCCCCGGCACGCGTCCCTGAACAGAATTCATGGTTTACAAATAACGGAACTTATTTTGGTATTGCCGGATTACGGGTTTGGGGACGCGTGCGGGATCAAGATGGCAACGCCCCGGCACGTGTCCCTACGGTTTCTTTTTACCCTATTAGGAGACGGGCATCTTTTCATCCCCTTGCCGTGAGGCTGTTGCTGAGTACATTACACAACCGACATCTTTCATGGGTTTACACCCGTTTCTGTAGTCCCCCAGTTCTCTCGGGGGCATTTTCTTCAAGAAGTGCTGGGGCATAATCAAGCATGATGTGATGAGGGTGATTCTCAAGTTTGACTCCTTACACACGTTCGATCTACACTGGCTCAACTCTGCCAACGTCGTGCTTCTACCCAAGAAGGAGGGAGCTGAGGGTATTGACGATTATAGACCCATTAGCCTTATCCATGCTATCGCCAAAATCCTCGCGAAGGTGCTATCCCTCCGCCTTGCTCCGCACATGAACAAACTTGTCTCCAACGCCCAAAGCGCCTTCATCAAGACGAGAAGCATACACGATAACTTCATGTGCGTGCGCAACTTTGCCGCCGGCTCCATAAGTGCAAGACTCCGTCGCTCCTGTTCAAGCTTGACATCCAAAAGGCATTTGATTCGGTCAGATGGGAGTATGTGCTGGACCTCCTCCGACGCCGTGGGTTCCCATGCAAATTTCGTAACTGGATTGCGGCGCTTCTTTGCTCCTCTTCCTCGAGGATCATCCTAAATGGTGTGCCCGGCCCGCCAATCATTCACGGTCAGGGCCTTCGCCAGGGGGACCCAATTTCACCGTTGCTATTCATCATCGCCATTGATCCGCTACAACGGCTCCTTGACTTGGCTACCCGCAAGAAATTGCTCCACTGGATCCGTGGAAGAGGTGTCATGGTGCGTACCTCGCTTTATGCGGATGATGCCGCGGTGTTCATGGCCCCTATAAAAAAAGACATTGACATCTTCTCGGCAATTTTACGTGGTTTTGGGGAGGTCACCGGGCTATGCACCAACTTTCACAAGAGCTCAGTTGTGCCTATCCGGTGCAATAACCTTAACTTGGGACACATTCTGCAAAGCATGCCGGCCACTATGGCTTCCTTCCCTCTACGGTACTTAGGCCTCCCGTTATCTGTCTGGCAGCTAAAAAAGGCAGATTTCCAATTTCTTGAAGACAAGGTGACGAGCAAATTGGTTACGTATGAGGAGCAGAACATTACTACCATTGGGCGCACGACATTAGTAAAATCGGTCATCTCCTCACTTGCGGTCTACTTCATCACCTCCTTGATTGTCCCTCCGTCAATCTTGCAAAATGTGAACAAGCTGGAGCGTGCTTTCCTGTGGTCCGGGTCGGATAAGACCACGGGAGCAAAGTGCAAGGTTAATTGGAATATTGTCTGCCGCCCATCGGAGTACGGTGGCCTTGGAGTCCTTAACACCGCCAAGTTTGCTCGCGCCTTGCGACTGAGATGGCCTTGGTTTGAATGGACGGAGCCAAATAAGATGTGGGTCGGTTTGGGCAACCCTTGTGACGAGGCGGACATGTCTTTCTTCTATGCCTCAACCACCATTTCTGGGGGAATGGGGTCAAAACGCCCTTCTGAGAATCCCCTTGGCTACAGGGAGCCAAACCAAAAGATGTTGCTCCCTTAATTTTCGAGGCCTCCATGAGGAAAAATTGGAAGGTGCGCGAGGCCCTCAAAAACAATGATTGGATTCTCAAGATCAACCCCTCCACGACCGTCTCCATCGAGCACATCCGGCAATTCTTCACCCTTTGGATGCTCTTGCACAACTTTCATCTTGATGAGCTTTCCGAGGATTCCATTATATGGAAGCACACGGCAGATGGGTGCTACACTGCCGCCTCCGCATATCAAGCGCAATTCCTTGGGCTAGTTCTCTTTTCCATGGAGCACATGATTTGGAAGGCTTGGGCGCCTTGAAAGACAAAGTTCTTCGCTTGGTTGGCAACCCAAGAAAGAATCTGGACGGCGGATAGGCTTGCCAAGCAGGGTTGGCCGAACTGTGGTCTTTGCCCTCTTTGCAAAAGGGAGCAAGAGAGCGGTCCTCATCTTTTTTCAAGTGTCGTTACACCATCCGCCTTTGGAAGATGGTCATTGAAAAATTTCAGCTTACGCATTTGGACACCTCTTCATGGCATTTGGAGGCTTCAGTCAAGAGTTGGTGGGAAAATTTGACCGGCACAGAAGTACCCGACAGAAAGGCGATGGCCTCGATGACTATGCTCGTGTCGTGGATCGTCTGGAACGAAAGGAATGCACGGGTCTTCCGGCATAAATGTGCTCCACCGCCTATTTTACTAGCTTCCATTGCCAATGAGGCAAAGCTTTGGGTCACCGCCGGGGCAAAGAAATTAGGGGCCATAATTTTGCGCGAGTAATCACTCATGCCGTGTAAGGGTGCCTATTATAACAAAACCTTTTCTCTACTTAATTAATATATGAGGCAAATCTTTTGGCTCGGTTTCAAAAGAAAAAGTTCTCTCTCGGGATGATGGCCCAAGAGGTAGCGACGAGAAGAGATTCTAGTTAAAATGGTACTGGCAAAGACGATGAACGCAAAGTCAAGATGGCCGAGTTGGTCTAAGGCGCCAGTTTCAGGTACTGGTCCGAAAGGGCGTGGGTTCAAATCCCACTCTTGACACACATTTTTTTTTCTTTTTTTCTTAATTTGCTACGCTGCCTTCTAGCTCGTTTTATGCTGAATTTCGAAGTTTGAGCACCACATTGGATTCCACAGGCGGAATGTAACACACCGTCCTTCAGTTTACCACTGCCACGCTTCTTCTCTATAAGAAGATCTCGGCCGCTCACTCCAGCAGCCCAGCGGCCCTGTAGGACTCCACGCTGTCCCTGAGGCACTCCTCCACCGCCCTGAACTTCCACCCCAGCGCCTGCAGCTTCCTGGAGCTCACCATCTTGTCCTCGTCTTCTGCTTCAACGAATCTGCAAACAACCTCCTGGTAGTCACGCAAAATCGCAACTGCAAGCTGGTCGTATATACAGTTATGTACTACTGTACGTTCTTACATCTTTGGCTGGTTAAGATCTGGATAGAAGCTCTTGACGATGCCGGCCATTTCAGAGAGCTTCTTTCGATATGCGCCGCAGATGTACCGCCCAGACGCCTCCGGGCTCTCGTACGCCAGCACGAGCGCGTCGGCGAGGTCCCGGACGTCCACCGCGTTCCTCGCCTTGTCCTCCACGGTGTCGGGGTCGCCTGCGCACGCAACAAAGCAAGACATATATGTACGCGTGAATTGATCCACGATTGCTTGTTGCCTCTGGAAGAAAGGCTTGCCTTTGAGCAGGTTGATGAGGACCAAGCTGCTGGTGTTGGCCACGCTCTGCAGCAGCGGGCCGAGGACCAAGGGCGGGCACACGGTGACCACGTCCAGGCCGGTCTGCTCCGTGTGAGCCAGAGCCTCGCGTTCGGCCAGTGTCTTGGAGAGGGCGTACCACATCTGCCAAGGTGAAGATCGGACAGAACATGAGTGGCACGCACGTAGGTTGGTTATTACCACTGTACATAATTTTGGTTTGGAAACGGAGAAGTGAGTGCCACCCCGGTGGTTCTGCAGTAGTCCTCGTCTGACCACGCGTCCTCGTCCAGGACGGCGTCCCTGGGGAAGCTGGGGTTCATGGCCACCGCGGCGGCCGACGACACTACCACGACACGGCCGACCTTAGCTTGGTGGCAGGCCTTGAGCACGTTCTGCGTGCCCCTCACCGCCGGAGCCAGGACCTCCACCTGAGCACAGGAGAGGTCACCAGAACAGAACAGAAAACTTGATAATAGATCAATACTCAGTTTCCTGATGAAAAATGGTACTTACCTCTGGGTTCTGGGGTTTGTCGGCGGGGACGGGGCTGGCGACGTGGAAGACGCCGCCGCAGCCGGACACGGCGTACGCCACGCTGGCGTAGTCCAGCACGTCGGCCTTGAACAGCCGCAGCCGCTCCCCGGCGCCGTCCAGCGCCCTCAGGTGGCCGGTCTTGCGATCACCTGCGTGCACGAACGCACTTGCGGCCGTCGGGTCGGTCCTTTGCACGGGACAACTCAAAGAAAGGTGGCGTCGATCTTGTCTTACCGAGGTCGCGAACGGTGCCATGCACCGTGTACTCGCCCGTGGACAGGAGCCGCTTCACGAGCCACGAGCCGACGAAGCCGCCGGCGCCGGTCACGCACACCGTCTTCGATCTGCTCCCCTCGCCCTCCATGTGTTCCTTTTCTTTCTCTCACTGGCCGGCGCCTTCGCGTATCTATAAATGCGTGCGTGTCCGGCGTCTGGTGGCGGCGACCGCTGTTTCTACGGCCTGCGCGTGGCAGCTGCTTGGTCTGAAACTAGGACAAGTGTAGCGCGAGGTTCCAACTCAGGCTGCAGAGCCAGACACGCCTTGCAGCTCGTGTGGCACGCAGGGCCCGCGGAGATACAGTACGTCCCTGCTGGTTATCTAACGGTAAAGGCATGCGTAGGATAAATGTTGAGATGAAGGCAAGAGAAACCAGAAAAAAAGTTTTTCTTCTTTTATTTAAGAGATTATCTCTTAGCAACAAATCCTCATCACTTTTTTAGGAATAACTAGTTAGTGCTAGATAAAATTAAGAAAGAGCCCATTGTACACCATATTGTTCTGTCATCTCCAGATTACGTGTCTGGATTAAGATTACATGGCTGAATTAAGATAAGACTGTCTTATCAACAACTATACATGCCCTAAGCTTAATGATGTTTATCTAGTGTAGAAACTGTATCACAGCATGTTAGCCCTGATTGGATTGCCATGTTCCTTTAAATACAAACTTCATCCGTTTCATAATATAATAACATTTTTGACCTAGTATACAGGTCTCGACTCATCGTTTTGTTTCCGGCCGAAAATTGCTAAGCAGCCGGTAATATAAAAGTGTAAAATTCCCCAAAAGAAAAGAAAAAAGTGTAAAATAAACACCCCATATTTAATTACAACGATACCAAGCGCGGCCACTGGGCTCAAAACACCAGCCGATGCTGGTACAAGAAGGGTCCGCGTTGACGAACATGATTACAGCACTTCATCTCAGACTTCAGAGAAATGCGCAGTGAATACCGCTACAAGAGCACAGAGCAAAATTATTCTGAATAAATTGGTTCACAGTTGATCGTTCAGAACAGGGTTGTAAAATCAACACCAATGGGCTATTCCGGATAGCATGTTCCGAGAAAAGAGAAAAGAACAAGGGACATGCCCTGAAACTGAACTAGTCAATGAAGACCTGAAGACAAGCTCCCAAATGTGAGAGAACAGAGATGTACTGCTAGTTAACCACACCAGACTGAAAGAGCTCTGCCTGGATCACGAAGCCTGGGGCTTCTCCTCGGCTTTCTTTGGCTGAAAAGTAAAAACATATATGAAGATTTTCATTGAGAATTCATGAGAGGAGGAAAACAAACTCATACCCCCTCCGATCCAAATTAATTAACGCTCAGTTAATTTGGATCGGAGGGAGTACCAAAGTACTGAATAATAGCAGGTCTCGTACATCGGATGGAAAATTCAAGCATGCATCCAAATGGCCCACATCACGAGAGCCTGGTCAATTTAATTAAAAATTCGAGCATAAACCAAATTACTCGCATCACATTTATATATATTTTTTG